CAATACAATGTTAGGGGCAGCACAAAAATCACAGCTGTTCTTCACTCTGCCTTTCAAAGCTGCTGTCCAGCACAGGTTGCCCACAGAAGCTGTGCCTGCCCCCGGATCCCTGGAAGTGTCCAAGGCCAGGCTGGACAGGGCTTAGAGCACCCTGGGATGGTGGAAGGTGTCCCTGCCCATGGCAGGGTGTGGAACGGGACGAGCTTTAAAAAAAGGTGCCTTCCCATCCAAGCCCTTCTGGGATTCCTTGATTCTGTGAACAGCTCCGGGCAGAAGGACTGAATGTCCATTGTCGTTCGAAAATGCTGCTGCAAGAGCACAAAGAGAGATTTCAAATACTGTTAAAGTGGCACAACCACATCAAAAATTACATTTGGGGGTAAAGTGGCAACTCTGCAATTCCAACTTCTGATACCAAGGACACATGGAGAGCTGAATCCTGGAGATCCTTACATAACAGGATTTCTAGTGTTATCCATCCCCAGTTTGCTGCTTAGGTTTAGAAAAGGTAGTCAGTCCCAAGTCGTGGAATTCTGTTCTTAAGGGGTTACCACATACCATCAATGTGAGAGACGGGGATGCTGATGTTATCAGAGTCCAGTAGCAACCGGGAGCACGCTGCCTTCCTGAATCAGGTCTGCTGCCTTGTCCGTGTAGGGGTAGGGGTAGGGCTTTGTCCTCAGCTTCAGCAGGACCTGTCAGCAAAGGTGGAGAGAAAAGTAAGTTAACCGGCTCCCAAGTGTGGGGGAACCATGTGCTGCTAAGGAAGACCACGTGCTGAAAGTGGTTTGAAGCCGGGTGGGTTTTGGGAGGACAAATTCCATATTACTTCTGCAGGATTCTGTCTGCAGTTCCTGCTCTACAAACCAAATACATCAAACGACAAAAATAAACAAACAAAAAAACCACCCACATTAAATTAACAACAACAACATAATTATTCCTACCTCAATAAATCCATAATGCCTCGAACCATTTCAAGGAGGGCGGCAGGAGGGGCGGGCAGAGCCAGGGCCCCGCTCCGCCGCCCCGGCGGCATTTTCCGGCACGCGGCCGCTCCCGGCGTCTGGAGAGGGGCGCGGGGCCGGGAAGGGGGCGCAGCCCTGCTCCGATGCCGCTCGGCCGCGGCCCGGGAGCGCTGCGACCGCGCCTCCGCCGCCCGCCGGCACCGGCCCCGCTGGGCCGCCCTCGCCACCGCCCTCCTCGCCGCCTTCAGCCCTCCCCTCACTCACAGACACCGCCCCGCTCGCCGCTCGCTCCCGCCGCTCGCCCCTCCCGCCCCGTCTCGGTGGTTTGGCCGGGCGCTGGCTGGGGGGCTGCAGTACCACCCTCTGTCCACAAGGCGGCAGCACTTGTCAAGCGAGTCCGCGACAAGATGGCGGCCCGTGGGGACCTTGATAGTGACAGGCGTTTTTGCCGATGCCTGTCGGCTCCCGCCAAAAACCCACACGCTCGCGGTGCTGCTGACCCCGCAGTCCGTGTGCACGGCACCGGAACTGCCGCGAAAAATCCCGTCACGGGGCGCCGGCGGTGCGGGCAATTCAGGCAGTGTAAAAAACAGACATGAGTCCTCGAATTTCAATGTCCTCGTTTTCGCGCCCTCTTGACAAGGTCAAGCGAGTCCGCGCCAAGCCACTCCCAAGATGGCGGCCGCGGGCGGCGGGCTGCAGTACCGCCTCTGCCCACAAGGAGGCAGCACTGCGCCGTCGGCAGCGAATGACCCAACGCATCCGCGCGGAAAAGAACGGAACAAAAAACCTGCCTCTGACCCGGCAGGAACCGAAAGAAAAAACCTTTCCTCTTAAACTGCATTTCAATAGAGTTTATTTTTATATTTTTCAGATTTATATTCACATTCGGATTTGTAATGGATACTGATGTAAAATTGTATTTTTATAAATTTTTACATTTATTCCTATTCTTTTTTATTACATTTATATTTTTATACATACCTTGATACATTGCTTACATATTTCTATAGTTATATTTTTATTTCTAAAAGGCTTATATTGTTTAAAATAAACCTCTGCCTCTATAAAGTAAAAATCTTAAAAAAAAAAAACCCTTTCTTTTATACTGTGTTTAAATTCATCTCTATTTTTGGCATTTATATTCAAATGTACATTTTAAATGTAGATTGATGTATGGTGTTATTTATAGTCTATCTCTTCCCAATACTTATTTTTATTTCTATTTTATATTTTTATATACACACCAGTATACATTGATTATATATTTCCATATTTAGAATGACATCCAAATAAAATGTATATTCATATTTTTTCCATTAAAACCCTGCCTATAACCAAATAAAAACAAAAAAAAGCCCTTTCTTTAAACGATACTTGAATATTTATATATTTTTTCATCATTATAGTCACATTTGAATTTCTACTTTACATTGATGTATTTATAAATATAAATTATACATATATAAGGTAGCAAGATAGATAATTATTTAATTTCTATTTCTTACATACTGCTAATACTTATATTTACTTACCTTTGAATTTTTATATAGATCTTAACGTATTTAAGATATATTTCTATACATAGATTTCTAATTTTATTTATATTTATAATTTTTATAATAAAACCCCTACCTACTACCAAATAGAAAATAAAAATCCCCTTTATTTTAAACTATATTTAAATATTTCTATATTTCTATTTTTGATTTTTACAAGTACTTATCTATCACAACATATTGAGGTACTATATTTCGATATATAATATTTACGACGTAATGTGTTATAATAAGACATATACAGTAAAATATGCATTATGTACTGTGTTGATTCCTATTATTTTGTAATATTTATATATCCACATGTATTAATTATACATTTCTATATGGATATTTATATTTATAATCTATATTTATGTGTATATAAACATAGAAAATACTCTATATCAAACACTATAATAGCTAATAGTAATGGATAACATTATTTATGTTACATGTTTTATTTATATGTTTTCTGTTTATATTTCAAATTGAAGTTTTATATTCCTATTTTCATGTTTATGCATTTGTTTTGTTTCATTAGAGTTACAGTTAAAACTTTGCAGTTATAATCCAATTCCTAAAAATAAAATGCCAAAACAAACAGCATCAAATTCCCACCAATACCATCCAAAAAATTCAGAAAGGCCCCACCAGCCAACCAACTACCAGCAAAAAAACCCGCACTACACTCCTTTCACTAGCAGTTCTTATCACATCACAAAAATGAAACAAACATTTTAAAATAAGACCTATAGAAACCCACACAGCAAATCACAAAAAACACTAAAAAGAAAAAAAAGAAAGCCAACTAACTTACCATGCTCCAAACCATACAAGAGACCCTGAACATTTCTAAAAAAATAACCAAAACTCTACCACTACACTAACTCATAAAGAGAACCCAATGCTCTATAAACAAAGGAACAAAAGAATCACCACCCAAATAAAATAAATACCTAAAGAGATCCACCAGGGAAATACCCATGTTCCCAAAAATAAAACTAATAAAAAACAACAACCAAATACATCAAACTACAAAAAAATATATATTAACAACAAAATAATTATTCCTAACTCAATAAACAAAAATTGCCTCAAACCATCAAAACACAAACACCACCTAGAAATAAACACGTCGCCAAAAGATAAATGTAACCATAAACAATAACTCCCAAATTCTCAGCAACTATAAAACATACACAGCAATCAAATACGCCAAATGATTAAAACCCCTATAATATAATAAACAAGAATGCAATAATCAATATTAAAAAAAACCTCACTGATTAACTACAGGACACTACCTCAAGCCCACCAAAACAAACACTACGCACTCGCGTAGTAACATTGCCAGGATGGGACCCTGAAATACAAAATTTTTAGGCTTCATCACAGAGTCCAGCAATACTTCCAGAGGGCTCATAAGCGCAGGAAACCCAGTCCATCAGCCAGATGGTGACAGAGGTATGTGCACTCTGAGATGGATCCCTAAAGCACAAAAACAAGAAAGGATGCTTACAGTTGCACCAAAAACTGAAACCTGAGCAAGAACAACTGCTTCTGTCCTTTGCTCACCTAGCACAATGGGCCTTGACTGCTGCTATCTGCCTGGACCTCCTAAAAATAAAGGCAAAGAACACTGCTGTAACATGGTCACCATTGAGGCTTCCCCTGCAAATGTAAACAGTGACTGACCTGCTCATGGCAACACCCTCACCCAGGACTGGGGCTCTCTGCCACAGATTTGAACTGTCTGCATCTGAAAGGAAGTTAGGACTAGTGTCAAATGGCTGCAGGACAACTTAACAGCACCAAACATGTTATGTCAATCTCCCCATACAATCTAGAGCCCAACTACACCCCGCATTACCAATTTCAAGCCCCCAGGACTTGTGCTATTACAGGCTATGCAGCAGGGCAGAGCAGCTGTGGGACAAATATGTGCAGACACCCGTGACACAGGACAGGACCTGACAAACCAGGGGACAGGACAGGGAGAGAGAGCTTTCAATGAGAAGAATGTCTGCAAGGACCGAGAGACCCAAACACCACAGAATGCACCAGAGACAAGTGACAAGACACACACTGGAACTGCTCTGCCCTGTGTATCTCAGCACTGAGATCAAAACAGACACTTTCCCTTTAGGTGGCCTAAGGGGATGATTCTTGGACATCCCCATCTCCAAAACTAACTCAAAAACCCCTCCTGGGGAGTCCCAACCTGGCACCTCTCTTCCATCCCCTCTGTGGGTTGTAGCCCTTGACTTATCTTGAACATATCTGGGGATGCAAATCCCCATCGGGTGCAGAAGGAGGCCACTACTCCCACCTCCAGGCTGTGGCCCCGACTTATCTTTAAAATGACTGGCAACATGAATCCATGTTGGCCCTGAAATGAGTCGGCCTCAGAATGCCCCATGATTGCCGGTTATCCTCTTAGTGAGCTACAATAAAGAACACAAAAATCAATGCATGATTCTAGTGTTATGCAGGCCAAATCCCAGCGAGTCAGCTACTTGACATCTCCTAAGTATACCTAGGTCCTCAAGGCTCCAGCTTCATTCCGAGTCTGAGGCTATAGCTGTTATGACTAGCACCTTGTTTAGAGAGAGCCAAAGTTACAAGGTATTTCTGTGAGTGCAGTAGATGAGCTGGGGTGGTGCAAGATACATGAATGCCTCTGCTACGCCTGTGAAAAACCTTGGGGGGTCCTCAAATAGACACCATTTATCACCCTGCTGCCTTCAAACCACCCCCCATAACTCTTAACAAGACACCTACTTACCCTCTAGTCATAATCCTCAACTTTACTCATCTGAAGCCTCAATCTCAAACATGATCTTCAACACAGAGCAGATCCCTCTTGTAACATGATGAAGCTGCTGAAAAAATCTGAAGTGTCACACTTGACACAGCCTGGAGATACAGGAAGCTGTGCTCCTAGTAAAAAAAACAAACAAACAAACAAAAAAAAAAAACATAAAAAAGCACCTTATCACCCCTGAACACACAACCCAAAATCATGAATTTAAATACTCCCTGTGTCCAATTCTGTATTCCTCACAGTAGGTTCAAAGCCCCTGTTACTTCAGGTGCCCAAAAGCACCTGCTGAAAACAAGCTGAAATTAGCTGAAAGATCCTCTTCACTGAAATGAGAGGAAACCTCTTACCCCAGTGGTTCCCAAAGAGGGAATGAAGCCCCTTAGCAAAACCTGGGGTTAATATACCCCTGTATTCTTTGAAGAACACAATTCTATATTCTTTAAAACCCCTGTTACTTCACATGCCCAAAAACACTTGCTAAAAACAAGCTGAAATAAGCTGAAAGACCCACTTCACTGAAATGAGAGGAGACTTCTTACCCCAGTAGCTCCCAAAGAGGGGATGAAGCCCCTTAGCAAAACCTGAGGTTAATATACCCCTGATTGGGCCCACCTCTCGTTCCCACAATATCCAGGAAAAGGGAGACGACAAATCCCACAAGGTATAAAAGCCCTCAGAGGAGCTTCAGATGTTTGAGGGGAGTAAAGGGCTTGATTTTCAGGGAAATAATAATGATTTTTTTTTTTTTTTTTTTTTTTTTTTTTTTTTTTTTTTTTTTTTTTTTTTTTTTTTTTTTTTTTTTGCTTCAGCTGCTTTAAGCAAAAGGGCAGAAAACCTGTAAGAAATAAAACTTTGTGTTTAGGCAGCATAGCTAGGTAAGTTGGATAACTTGTTGCTAACTTATATAATTATTCCTTAATGATTAGTAAGTAGTACTCCACATGTGATTAAGTAGGGTGGAGAACAATAATGACATGAATGGTCCAAGTCTCCTTGGTATCTCTAATTAGGGCTATCTATATTATAAATAAAAATAAGAAAATTAATAGACTCCTGGGCAGCATTAGGGTTAAGTACAGGCCTGGCTTGCCCTTGTCTGAGATATTTATTCCCAGGGCACACATAGAAGTGCCCTAAAATGTAGTGTTAATCCCTTAAAATGCTGAAAAAGACAGAGCTTCCATCAGGTGAACCCCTTAAAAAGAGGAAATTAGGCAGTTGCCTCCACTTAAACTGATACAATGGCAAATAAATCGCTCCTGTCCTTTAATTTAAACCCCTAAAATATTGGGAAAAGAGGGATGTTGCTCACTTTAAATCTCTCCAGTGATGAAACAAAGTAGGGACAGCTGGCTTCCCCCTCAATTTAAGCCTTAGGACAACAAAAAAAGGGGCAATGACCCTTAATTCAAACCCATAAGAAAGCACTGCCAAGGTTGTCCACTTCTATTTAAAGTGGAAAATAATGAAAAATTATTTAGGGTGTCAATTAACACTCCTAGCAGCATAAAAGAGGCAGGAATTCTTTCAATTGAGACCATTAAAATTGCAAGAGGAGGGGATTCTCTCACAATTTAAGCACAAGAAATAATGGAAAAGGAAGCTTTTTCCCTCAATGTAAACCCCTTTTCCCCTAATAACCCCTCTGTTTTCTGGAGGTGCTGCGGAAGGACCGAGGACTCTAGGGAGGAATTGACACAATGAAAGTGGAAATTGGAAAGCTCTCCCCTGGAACCCCACACTCTGCCCTGCCGGTTCAGGTGCTGCCCCTCGGTAAGGGGGCTTTTCCCTCGGCATTTTCTTAAAAGGATGCTCTGTGAACAGACGCGTCCGGCTGCTCCCCAGGCCCTGGTGGATGGTCCTGGGCTCCTAGAAGGACAGTAGGGATAGCTTCATTAACGCCTCTGGAGCAACAGCTCCCCGCGCAGGTGGGCCCGGGTGTGGCGGGTTTGGTGTTGGTTAATTACTAAAACACTCACTTCTTGCTGGGAGATAGGAAAAAAAGTAAAGTAGATTTAAAACTTTAAACAGGTATAAAGAAAATTTTATTAAAAGGAACTAGAAGAAAAAAAATAGTAAGAACTAAAACAAACTTTTCAGAACACTTCTCTTACCCCACAACTTTTTCTTTCCCACTGATAATATAAAGAAACTAAAGGTAAGATTTGTAGTCAGTTTATTACTTTTTAAATAGTTTTTTTTCAGTTTACTTAGGGAGAGAAGGCTGTGTTGTTAAGGAGGAAAAAAAGAGTTTTCTTGTGGTGCCTAATTTCGTTACGAATAACAGTTGTTTGGGGAATTCTGCTATAGTGAAGTTTTTTTAATTTTTACAAGCTTTCCCACAGCTTCTTGATGGGCTATGTTTACTTATGGGGGATTGTTTTAAAGATGAGCTGTTTAAAGGCAAAAGTTTTTATCACCTATCTCTAAAATTATTTTTATCTCTAGTAACAAATCTTTTTCTTTTTGGAGAAGCACAGGACTACTTTTCATCCTTTTTCTGTTTAAACTTCTTATGGGATTACAGTTATTTTAACACTTATCTTAGCATGGAGGCTTTTGTTTGATATTAATTCGAACACTTTCATCTTCTTATAGCTTCATGTGTTATATGGGAGAAGTCTTTTTTTATAACTCATAAGAGGATTTTAGCGCTAAAAGCAAGGCATCTCCTCCTCCCTCCCATTTGGGACTTAACTTCTTTATTGACTTTAAAATGTTATTCTTTTGCATGCTTGCATTTTGTTTTTTCCTCTTACTCGAGGGCTCCGCAGCGTCCCCCGCCTTCCCGCCCGGCAGCTGCTGGGGCCCAGCCGGAGCCGACGGGGGCCGGCGGGCGGCACGGGGAGGGGAGAAGGGGCCCGGCCCGCAGCAGGACCGCCCGGACCGGCCTGGCTGAGACGGGGGGCCGGGGCCCGCCACCTCCGCACCGACCAGAAAGAAAGAGAGAGCTCCCCGGTTTTTTCGTCTTTAACGTGCGTGTTCCACTGAGGCGCGTCCAGCTGCGCAGGGGTTCAACAAGCTTGTAGCATCCCATGAACTCTCCCGCTTCAGTCAATTCCCAAGTCCTCGGCCCTGGCAACGGCAGTAACTACTCACCATACTCACCTCCTGGGGAGAAAAACAGTCTCCCATTCGGGCTTCCGCGCCGCAACTTCGCCTCTAACTTCCCCTGCTTTCTCCTTTCCCTGTCCTCTCACTGGATTGGTATCCTTGGTGGCCACCCCTCTTTCCCTGGAGACCAAACCCCTCTGCCCAACCCTTAGCTCCGCCCGCCACCCCTTCCCCTTCTCCAGCTGTCTCCTCTACGTGGTCAGTCTCTTATTTTACCTCGCTTTTCTTGCCTTTATCGCTGAGCCAGCTGCAGTGAGTGTTGAGTGAGGGTCTGATTGCGTTGCCTGAAGGTTATCTCAACTTGCTTTTCCACAGGAGAGGGTTGTGGGGGACAGATTTTAGGCAGCAGCAGCCACTACTCCAACACCCGCACCTTTACAAGCTGTCAGTTACACAAAAAACTTTGTATCACTTCCCTGAATTTCCTTCCCGGGTAACCCTCTAAAAGGTCACACGGGGAACTGCTACACCGTGGAGTGGAGGATGAGGTGAAGAAAGCTGCTGTGGGGAGTTCCCTCCCCTACAAAGCCCTAGGTCTACCCTCTAAACAGTGGTGTGCTAGACTTTACTTTCCAAGGAAATTAATCGTATGTCCTCTCTCTGTGCCCGTGGCCAAAACTGGGATTCTGCCCCCAAAACTGCGGACAGTGACCTATTCCTGAGAGACCGCAGCTGCCGACACCAAGAACTCTTGATGCCCTTGGAGTGCCGCACGCCTCCTGCGAACAGACAATGCACAGGGAGGGTATGTTTGGTTTCACAGGGAAAAGGTGCAGCACACGTGCCCAGGGGCCTGTGACCCCGAGTGGCCTTCTGCCTCCTCCAAGTCCGAATAGCACAGGATTTTTCCCAGAGCAAAGCTGCCCGCACCGTCCCCTGGACCGCAGCTCCCGGCGTGTGGTGAAGCGCACCCTTGCTCGCTCTGTTCCTCCGTCGGGACCGCGCCTGCACCGCGCAACGGGGCGGCTCCGGACAGACCGTGCCACTCGCTCCCGCCCGGCGCCATCCCCGGGAAAGTCCCGCTGCCCGCTCCCGCACAGCACTGCCGCCTGCACCGCTCCATCCGTCGGCAGCCCCCGCCACTCGGTGCTTCTGCCGCAGACCCCGCCAGCCCGGCCGCCCCCCACAGGCACCGTCGCCCTCCTCGGGTCTTCCCCTGGACTGGCCACGCAGTCGCCCGTTCACCGCTCACCTTCAAGTAGCGGTAGCAGCGTGAGGCAGCGCGCAGCCACGGAAAGCGCCACCGCAGGTTTCTTACCTGGAGTTCTGGTCAGCAGCTGGCACCGGCGACGTCTCAAAACCGCCAAGTGTGCGCTGCATTCTCAGCGGCGGTGCCCTGCGGCTGGTGACAGCCGCCAGCCGCACGTGCGGCGTCTCCCCGGCCCCCGCGTGCGCTCATTCCGAGCCTCTGAGCCCGCGCGGTGTTTTAGGGTTCACTGGTGCCCCATGGGTTTCTCGGGCGCGGCACTGAATATTAACCGTACACGAGCATCTGCCTCTGGTCTCTGCTATCAAAGCTGGTTGAACGGATCACTTCCATGCAGCAATATAATCAATAGGTAAACTTTCAAGGCTTACTAAATTTCTCAGTAACCTTCATAAATTACTTGTCGTTCTAAAGGGAGAGGCTAACGGTATGGAGTGTGTGGCAGGAGCAAGTGTGCACTTATTCTGTGTCACAGTATTAGAACACAACAGGGACAGCATTAAAACGCTATTTCCACTGTGACTCCACTGAAAGCTTCTTCAGTTTCTTCAAGTTTTTGCACTCCAAGCAAACACCACATTCAACTATCTGATTGTAAACATTGCCATTCCAAGGAAACCACTATGAAATCTATCAATAAATGAAGTTCCCATTTAAGGCTTTTACAAGACAGCTGCTGCAGTTGTCCCACCTTTTGGAAAACTTACATATTAAAATTTAAAACATCAAAAGAAATCTGGAAAAAACATATACCACTGCAAAACAACTTTAAAGAAATAAGTCAAGAAGGAATTTAGTATATACTTTGTTCCATATATACAAATAAAGAACTGTGATTCTTAAATACTTAAAGAATTTTAAAAAAGAGAACTATTTCCAATAAACAAAGACATCTCTGAGAATCCATCTTTTAACAGAAAGTGCTTAAATTATATTCTTAAAACAATGCTGTGAGCAGCATAGTAACAGGCTGACAAGCATCTTGCTGCCTTTTTTTTAATATGTAAAAAACTCACCAAAAAAAAACCTTCTTACATTATCAGAAAAGGAGTAGACGAAAAGATAAAGTCATCAGCCCAGGATTTTCCAATTACTATATGCTGCAGGGTATAGAAATATTCAAACAACTACCTTGCCCCACCTCCCCAGATCTCTCAAAAATGTCTCAGTTCTTTGGATTAAATGATGACCAACTGAATTGATTTTGTCGTCTTGGCAACACCAAATCCAATGTCAGATCTCTTTGTTCTTTTTCTGAATCCACCAGCTGATAACCAAGAATGTTTATAGCACCTTTGCAAACTTCCTGTATTTTCTTAACTTTCTGAAAGGAAAGAACATTTCTCCAGGCCTGTGAAACACTAACTGCATCTCGAGATGTTATTTTGAAGGCCTCTTTTTTTTTCCCCGGTCCCTGTCCATGTGTGATATTATAGATCCAGCTTTTGAGCCTGGGAGTCAAACTAAGATCCGCAAATTTATACATTTCTGAGATTTCTGATAACGGATCTCTTACAAGATCTTCAAAACGGACCATTAAATAGCGATCTTTCAGGAAATTAGGTGGTTTTAGAGTAGCTGTTTCATAAATCTGAACATGACTTCTACAAACCTCTTGCATTACTTTGTATTTACTATCTTCCACTTTAGTGCCATTGGTACTCAAGACAATTCCATTGTCACGGGCTAATGCTTTGACTGATTGCTCCCGTGACTTAACGACTGCCCTGGGGTCACGGACCAGGTGAATAATTTTGAGATTCAGGGACGGGTCAGTGAGGAGGGGGTACAGGACCTTCAAGTCAAAGAATCTAACTTCCTTGATGACAACATGGCTGTAAGTTTTACAGGCTTCCTCCACCTTGCTGAATGGATACCGTCCACAAAGAGTCTTGCATGCTAATTCACTGGTTATGTCAGTACGTTGAAAAGAGTCACATGCAGGAGCTGAACAAAGAGCCCGACTGGCTGCCCACTGGAAAAGATCGGATAAGTTTCTTTTCCAAGGCATGTAAGCATCAAACACAGACATGTCACACAGAAAGACCGACCTGACTAAGTCCCGCACTGCCATGTGTAAGACTTTGGCACTGTTCTGGTACATTGTAACCCACACGTGCCATGCAGGTTCCATCAGGTAGAAGACACTGGGGTGTTGGCTGAAAAGTTGACCGACAAAAGAAGATCCTGACCGCCAAGAGGACAGAATAAGTATGTGGACTTGTGATGGTTTCTCCTCAGACTGAGGCATGAAGCTACTGTACCGGGCATACATGAAGAGTAAGAATCCAGTTTGAACCGTAACAAAAATTATAACAATTGTGCTAGGAATCCGAATCCTTGCCATTCTGACCAAGGAAGGGTGATGAAAAAAAGCTGAAAAAGAGAAGGGAAATACTAGTGAACCATTGCTCCTCTGGCACAATAACAATACAACTTAGACAATACAAATTCTTGCATTAGTTAAAACCTTTCTTCAAATGTGAATGTACATATGTGGCATTAAGTGCTTCCTTAATCAGTTGCACTTGGGGTCGATCACTGCAGGTGACAGCTGTTGGGAAAAGAAAAGGAAGTAATGTGTGACAGTAAGATCAGTGCAGCAATAAGCAAATAAATAAATGTTCAATGTTAAAGAAAACCTTGGGCTGATGCAGCTCAACCCTTGGAAAAAAGGCAAACCAAAACTACAAAATACACAAGGCCCTCAACTTGAATACTGGTAAACATTGCCCTAAAAAAAGAAGAAAAAAAAAATTCTGACTTGCTCATCTGTATTACTGTTTCAATTTAACATTACAAGGATTTCTATCCCCTAAAAGGAGTGGATGCGAACATTGGTAGCCGTGGGTGCTGAAATAAAAATCATCTTATCTAATGCACGTGCTGTACCCTGCAGTGGCCATAGGGTGCTATACCAATTGGTGCTTGTCCACAACCCTCTATTTTCCAAACTGCAGAAGGTAGAAGATGCATGAAAACTCACAACCTGAAGCCACACCTGGCCACAGATGATAAAATGAAAAAGCTGCTGACACGTATCTTTGGTCTGGAGTGTATACACCCCCAAGACTGAATACTCTGAGTTTGCATTCAAGAATTACCGGTTTGGGAGTTAGATTTGTCTGCATATAACTCCTAGAAAATCTTAGGCATGTCAACCCCAAGTGGATTTCTGCTTTACTTTGCAGTCAAAGTTCAAGATACATGCACTCCCCGCAGCTTTTTACTAGAGGTTTTTGGCACCTACCCTTTTGTGCTCACTCATGCAGATTCAACTTGTAAGCAGACAGTAAATGTTAGCAGGCAAGGTTTTAGGAAAGTAAGACTCCTCCTGTACGCAGATCATCTCAGAAGTTCTACATATATGTATTTGTTATCTAGCTGCATTTACAATTTGCAATTACAATTTTTTTCTTGTTACAGTGAAAGACACATTTTTCAATACACTCTGAACTCTTGAAAGAAAATAATGCAGACTAGTAAACAGATACATATTAATTTGACAGAATAAATTAAATTGAAAAAATTATCACCCATTACAAAACTTTTATGTACACTGCATATTAAAAATGTGAAACTCTGCTTCAAAATTCCGTAGCAGCAAAAGTATACAGGATTTCAACAATTTCAATAATTACATTTATTTAAAGTAAGTAATGGAAGAAAAACCTTCCAAGGACTGTTAAAGGCAAAAATTAGGATACAGCCAATGGCTTAGCAATTTCCTAAACCGTGTATAGCCCATGGTATATGCCTGTATTGCAGTGACACGATGCGAGAAACAAGGCTTAATGTATTACTTAACTTCCTCCTCAGCAGTCCACTACTTGCTTCTCTCAGGCACAAGAGCAGATAGATAAATCCATAGTTTAATTCAGCTTGGGCATTGTTCATAGATAAAATCTGCCGTGTTCAAATACTGAATTTTTGCATATTATATCTCCAGAAGCATCTATAATTTTCTCTGTGCTGTGAGGATCACCAGCAATCCAGCAGCCTGCACTGATACTTCACCAAATAGAGGGGATGAAAGCATCTAAGCTGAATCTAAGAATCTAAGTGAAGGTACAGTTACATTTGCTAATTGCAAGATTTTTCTGGAAACAGACTCTATGCCTGAAAGTCAGCCAGACACAACTATCTCGGATCTTTTTCTTGAATGCAAAAAGTGAGTCATTATCTACACTAAGACTGCGTTCTGCTGCTCCCTGCAGTCTCACTTATTATGTAGCTTTCAGATACTCAATTACGCTTTTTAAAGAATTAATGTGTTTCTACTCTAGCTACTCAGACCTGTTGCTCCACTCTAATCATGCGGCAGAGCTGCAAGACTAACTGCAATTTTCATGTTATTAGCAGAGTGTGAGAGATAGAGGAATAAAAGCCAAAACCTGTTTTTTACATTCACTTTTGCCTTGACTCTCTCAGACCTCTCCTTGCTCCGGTTCCCACATAAGCAGTGTTGCAGACAATACTAAAAAGTCATCCAGGAAGTGAGCACAGCAGAGCTATCACACGGTTTTTTCCCCTGCTGTGGTAACATGTGCCTTTACGGCTCTTTTTACCCTGCATTCAGTTACTAGTCCCAGTCATGAAGCACCTCTTTGACAAGAAATGGAGGGATGGCTTCAGGTCACATTCAGCAATTACATGCCACCTGCAAGTAAATAACTCTTTCGATTGCCTCCTCTTAATGTATATAGTTCTTTGATTACATTACTGTAGAGGATTTTTTCCAGTTTTCTCCATCTAAAGGAAAAGAGAATGTTAAGGATATTTTTCTCTGTATTTCTGGAACTAGACCTGATCTTAATTTCTTATTTCACACGCATTCACCAAACTGTTGCTCTCAGCAGCATCACTTGTTCTAACTTAATGGCACAATACTGTGCCAATGAAAAAAACACATAACATGAGTATTAGTCCACAATATGCATCTGAACTAATCGGACTCAAGCCCTACAAATAACACAAAATGACTATAGCTGAAGTATTTCCCTACACTTCAATATGATAGAAACTGCAAGAAAAAAAATGCAATACCAAAGTAAAGCACTAAGTAGACACCAGTTTTCTACATTTAAGATTAATTTTCTGCCTTTTGGAAAAGTTGGAGTGTTTCTAAGGAATGTACACACATGTAGACACCACCAAAGAAAAAGCATAATTACACAACAAAATGCAGCATCTGTAAAAGTATTCTCTTATGTGCCTTCCAGTGCATAAGGCCAAATATACCACCTTCTCTGCAAACAGTGCCCTTTATTTTTGCACTTCGCTTGCTGGCCATGTGTAATTTTATTTTCACGTAAACAACCATTTACCATTTGCAATTGCATTCTGCAGTTAAGGTGATTTTAAGCCCAGGTTAAACTTGCACTCCCTTAAAGTACAATTTTTTTAACTCAACAAGCTCTTCTGTGATTTTTGATGAACTTTAGCTGAAGCAGAAAGCAGTTGTTGAAAAGCCCATAAAATAACCTTCTCAAAGAGTTGCTGCAGATCTATATATGTACACACATATTTATAAATCTACAACTATCTCCAATGATTACACTATATCATTGCCTTAGTTGTGGACTTGGTATTGTTGGATTAACAATTGGACTTCATGATCTTAAAGGTCTTTTCTACAATTCCAAATGTGAGGAACAGAACCTTGCAATACAGGCTACTTCTGATCCTCTAGCTATTCCATTGCAGGAATCGCCAGATGGTGCTGTTAAGCAAGCTTGCTCTTTCAGCACACAAGTGCAATATGCCAAAACTGCACACTGAAGCTGCACACTGAAACACTAGTCTGTGACTTGCTTTGCATTGCCTCTTTCTGCTAGTGCCCTCCTCCAACAACATCAGCTCAGTGGCACCACCTGCCCACCCCAAGCTCCCCTCCAGAAAGCAAAATTGGTGTTTGTTACACCTCCTTTTATCCTGCTTTATTCCACGTAAGTGCTTCCTCGTAGCTGCACCTGCCTGACTATAGCATGCCCACCAACTGCAAACACGGGGTGGGGGGGAAAGGAGAAGCAGCAGAGGGGCCAGATGTTTTAGCATTACTGCCACTTCAGCTGCCATCTCAGTGACAAAATCAGACTGACTCCAAGTGGCAAGGGAGCTACAAGAAGCAGAAAAACAGGCTGTAACAGGCCTCAAGTTGCAGCAGACAGCACTCCTACACCTCTCACATCTCTCAGCTGAGACTCACAAAGTACGGCAACACTCAGTGGCATCACAATATATGCTTCTGTAAATAATGAATACTCCTTGGTGTAAATTATTTTACTAACAGTTACACTGTTATTCCTTTTCTGTGGTAGTAGTAGTACTTCTTTGGTGATACCATTTCTTCAAGGAGAGCTGCAGTAAAGAGAATAATCAGAAGTCTCTCAAATTCTTGTGTACAATCATCTCTTCACAGGGCAATGAAAATTTTCCAAATGTGATCTGAAAAACATTAGCTTATATGGTTTAGTTGCCAGTCCCAAACAGAATCAAGCTCTGTTCCTGGGCTTCCCTGCTAACTGCTACTAATGGAAACAAGATTCTAGACTAGATGAACCCTGGCACAGTTCCACAATAACTATTCTTATGTATTGTCCAAAGGAAATTAATTATACAAACTGGCCAATAGAGCAATCATTTCCTTCATGACTTAAACTGTCTCTGATAGACTGCTGAGCTGCAGGGCCACTAGTATCTGCTTGCTAGATACATTACAGAAAGCTATCTAGTTTACCAAGCAGGGTAAAAATACAGTCAGTGGTAATATTGATTCCAAAAGCTCTCATTTCTAAGATGAGCACTTTTTAGATCCAGAAAGGCAGAAAACAAAGAAAGAAATATCCACTGGATGATCATTTAGCTCTTTCTTCCAGGGACTTTTATTTGTTTGTCACATAAGTCATGTAATGTTGGAATCGAGTAATCAGATCTTTTCAGGTCAGCTCTGAAAGGAGTACAGTTTCTTAGTAACTTCTTTTCAGCACAGAAGTCAACCTGAAGAGACTTAGTAAAGTAGCAAAAACAAACTTTATAGCTAAAAAAAGACCCTATTATTGAACTGCTACTGCTATTTTTTTTTTTCTGGGATATTAAAAAGACTGTAGAAAGACAGAAAGAGTGCCTCATATTAGAGGCTGTCAAGAAACACGCTCGCTCTCTGAGCTTTGGACAAAAGGCTGGGATGAAATACTCCCTTAGAACAAATAAGTCTGGGTCTTTTGTGGGAAGACTAAAAAACCAGCCTGGATTAAAGCAAAAATGTTTGAGTGAAGAATTACAAATACCTGCTCCCCTACAATGACTTCTGAGCAACTGAATCTTAGCTGTCTTTGTCAAAGTCTTCCCTGGCCATTTTCTGTCTGAGGAAGTTTCCAGCATACTTTCATTTTAAACAGTTTGTGCAGCATTTTTAAAGTCAAAGAACTTACAGATTACACAGAAATTGCTTCAAATAATGTACTCAGCTGTGGGTCCCTTCCAGCTCAGAATGTTCCATGATTCTGTTGATTTCCCAGATTGATTTCTTCCACTGAAAAATTAATACCTAATGCTGGATTATGTGCACAACCTTTTGTTACCCAAAAATGATTCTCCTGTATGCTGACCTTTCAGAGCAATCATACGAGATTAATGTAATTATCTCTTATGTACTTAAAATTCACCAAATGCAGCGGTACTGACTGTAAAAAGAATGATAAAGGTAAATGTCTTCATGCATTTTTATAGAATTAATAGGAAAATATTTATTCATGGCATGTTAAATAGAGCAAAGATGACCTGAAGATCACAGCAAAGATCATCTAGTTTTCCTCATCAAATTTACTCACTGCATTCTTCACCTATAAGACATTGCACCAATGCAATCGCCACCAAAATGGCTTCTGTGAACTAACGTTAGAAACATAGTTTGCTACTCAAAAAAGTAAAATGCTGGAACATGACAAAGCTGGTCAAAGAATAACACACACCAGTATCACTAGTAATTTTTGCAGCAAGTCACCCCACTGACAAAACATCACTTTCCAGTATTCTTCTGCAGTTAGAAATCACGCATCTTCATAAGGCAAAAGCTTACTGTGTCAACAATATACAGACTGGCATTTGAATGGGTAAAGAAAAAGCTTTTTGGAGGGTGTGTTCTAGAATCACTGGTAGTCCTAAAAGTTAAAAATCTTTCCAGTACTAAATTAGTGAAACTCATAAGCCTAATTTTTTTTTAATAGAATAATGAAACTGCAAGTAAAATAATAAAATACAGTAAATGTACTTTAGTAATTCTGAATTATAACATCATATTAGAATTTCAGGTGATACTGTTAATTCAACTTTTGGAAATAATACTTCTTTTTAGAATCTAGTGGTAAACGAGAGTTGAAAAATTGTTTCCAGGAAATCATCACAGTTAAAGACTTTATAATACAATGAAACATACCATACATTTAGTTATATGATCATTAAAGTTCTTTTTCTAAAAGGTACAGTTTCCTTTGGGAGATTTAAAAATATTTTTGGAGTTAGATAAAGTTGTCCAACCTAAGCAAATGGCAGTGTCAAAGCATAGCCCTTTTATACCTATTTCTCTATGCACTGCAGCTGAAGATCACAAAGTGCTTTCAGCTGGTGTTCAAGTGCTTTTACTGGTGTTCAAGAAATGAGGTCTGCTTAGTTGCAGCTTTTGTTACGAATTTTTACCACGGCAAAACTGGCGTGACAAAGAGACACCCGCAGTGACTGAATGCTATTCACTTACTTGAGACTCTGCACTGGCTCAATAGCGTCCTCAAATTCAAGCAGTCCGAGGACGATTGGGCAGAGGTGCGCTCTGTGTGCCTCACTTGAAGCAACTGTTGCAACTAAGAAATACTGACAAATGCTTCCGATCTGCATGTCACTTTCACCTAGAAAGAGGCAGGATACAACAGAAAAATGGTAAGGGTTCTCTAAACTCTTTCATCTAACTCCAACAAACGAAACCACCTTAACCTGAATCAGCCACGTTACCCAGGGAAAAGGAAGAAAAGGGAGGGAAAAAAAAAAAAAGGGGGGGGGGGGTAGGGCAGAGGAAAGGAGAGAGAGGGGGAAAAAAAACCCCTAACCCTCAAAAAAACCCACCTAAAATAACCAGGCTGATTTTCGACAGCTTTCTGTCGCACTCTGTCGGTGCGACATCGGCTCCGCCGCAACTGGTATTAGCGCTGGTCCGCCGCCACAAGCAGGGGCGTGTGTAACCCGATCAAAAACATCTCCTTTAATGAACCGTTGTTTGAGACCGGAAAAAAAAGGCCTGACCGGGACTTCCAATCCTTTGGAATAATCGCACCCCCACCCATATCAGCTGCCCGTACCTTGTCGCCGCCTCTCGCCACCGCCGTGGCTCGGAGCTGCCAACAAGAGACAATGAATCGCTTTCAGACGTGGCCGCCGAGGCGTCGGGGCAGCGGGAGGAGCCCGAGAAGAAGCCGATCCGCCCCGCTCCCGAAGCATCCCCGGGCAAAGGCGCAGGCCGGAGAGGCGGTCCGCTGGCCTGCCCCGCCCAGCACGAGTGGGCCGGCGCGGCGGGGCAGTGGCGCCCGGCCCGCAGGCACGTGCGTCCTGGGCCGCCCGCCCCGCAGGGTCCCTGCTGGCTCGCCGAAACCGGCCCGTGGCAACACCACCTCTCCGCCGCAGGGTCCCACGTGCCTCGGGCCTTCCTGTCCCAGCTGCCCCCAGCCCCCGCCTCCTCCCTCCATTCCGCCCAGCACTCCCAGGCGAACAGAGCTCGGTGCGGCCGCGTCTCGCTCGCCTCGTGCGAGAAGAACGAGGATAATGCCCCCCGCAAAACGGGCTTGGTGAGTTAAAAAGCAGCGACGTGGTTTATTTTCTCCCAGTTCCACCTCTTAAAACACTCCCGAAGCATGGCTCTTACACGGCCATGTTCGCACGTCAGTTTATGCATAGGACTTTTAACTTAAAGCTGCTTTCTTTTTCCTTCTTACAGAACCTTGATTAATCCTAGGGATCCACCGTGTCCTTTCTCAATGACGAGCATTTAGATTGTTCTGTCATATGTATAGAGAGAAGATCTGTGTAGTAGCACTAAGGTGCATGGTAGTGGTTTTGACTTTTTGTGTTGCTTTGCAAGCTGAAGGAAGAGTCCTTGCAGATAGCTTTCTGAGAAAGGCTCTTTAAGAGGCTCTAAACCTCTTCTAATGCAGGTTGCGGTGGATTCTCAGGTATGTATTTTTCCAGTGTAGTTCAGTTTGTTGCTTAAGCTATAAAATCTTGCTTATTTTTCTATTGCTTGGTTACTTACAAAAGTAGAGTATCTCTTCAAGCTCAGAACTATGAACCAAGAATATCGGTCAGTATAAAAAGTCATCCAGGAAGTGAGCACAGCAGAGTGCCTTTACAGCTCCTTTTACCCTGCATTCAGTTACTAGTCCCAGTCATGAAGCACCTCTTTGACAAGAAATGGAGGGATGGCTTCAGGTCATATTCAGCAATTACATGCCACCTGCAAGTAAATAACTCTTTCGATTGCCTCCTCTTAATGTATATAGTTCTTTGATTACATTACTGTAGAGGATTTTTTCCAGTTTTCTCCATTAAAGGAAAAGAGAATGTTAAGGATATTTTTCTCTGTATTTCTGGAACTAGACCTGATCTTAATTTCTTATTTCACATGCATTCACTGAACTGTTGCTCTCAGCAGCATCACTTGTTCTAAATTAATGTGAAAGGCTACAACAGGAGAGAAAAGTGAGAGAGGGATTAATGGAGTCTCCCAGTACTGTGGCTTTCGAGCATTAGTCTCTTCCATGTTTCCATCACCACCTAAACAGACTTCTGTTCAGCTTGGAGGAAGATTCTTACACATTCCATTTTTGTGTGAGTAGAACATTCAAACCCTTAAACTGCGGTCCTGTGGTCTCTCCTGAGATTTCTACCCCTTACTCATGTCCACCTTAATGCTTGTCTGATACATACCAAGTTCAGTCAGGGAACTGACTTGTCTAAAAAAGTGATTATAAAGATCTTCACCACAATTAACTCCCTGAATTAACTCAAGCAGTCACACAAGCACCGTTACTGCTGCAAGGGAGAGCATACCAAATGTACACCAGCTTGAGATATGGGGGAAACAAGCTCACAGCCCCCTTCGTTTATGCTGTGCAGTGGCTAAAAGCACAAAAAAAAGCAGCAGACAGTTGCTTTGACTCTGGAGATGTTGATACGAAGCCAGTTATCAGTAGCCCTACACTGCCACATAGAGACTTCAAAGATACAAGAGCAAACTGGAGATTTCTGAAAAAGGTAGCTCTCCTAAGTGCCAGGATGTTGAATTCTAGAGGACGATGGCCAAAAGGTGGCATACTGCTAAGCTGCTCTTTCATATTTCATAGTTGCACTGTGTCTTAATAGTTCAAGAGAACCAGTGCCACTTGGAATTTTTTGCAGAATTCTGGCATGTAGAATTGTTTTAAATTCTGTCCTGCCATAACACTGCTTTGCTAGAATTAATTCTTTAATACAAAACTGAAAAAATAATGGAAATTTTGTTGTTTTCTCTTGTAAGCTTGTCTAGCATAAAAAGTAAGCCCAGAAAAAGAAGATAAAATAATCTTCCCTATGACCACCAACACAGTCTTTCAATGTCTACTAGGTGATTATAATTTTTATCTGTTCTAAACTATTTAAGCTCTGAAGGTAATTATTCACTTTGAAACTCTGAGGCTTCCCTGGCATAATTTTTTGCTAGTTTTCTTTCAATAGATACAAGGATTCTCTGTTTTACTATTCACAGTTCACAATTAATGGTCGGGTGCTACAGTAACAATACCAGTAGTAAATGGTTGTGCAAATTTTGCACACACTATCACCCAAAACCTGATTTCTCACATCAATCTTGAATTTATTCATCATCCAATTTAATAATTAAATTGCTGAGCATGTATAGCCACAGTTACAGAAGTGCATCTCTGACCTTAACTCATCCATGCAGTTTTTCACTTCATAGTGCACATAAATGCATGTACAAATAACTCTTGACAGCTCTAAGACTGCAGAGAATTGATTTACAAGAAGTAAAAACAGTTAATGTCATTACTTTCAGCATATTATTTTCAGTTTTCAAGGTGGTTTTTGAGACATGTTTCAGTTGCAAAAAAATAACTAGGCTCTTTTTAACTGTCAAAAATATAAACCTTTCCAGCTCCAAAGCAGTGTTCCTAAAGAAATTAGATGAATGAACATGTATTTAAAAAAGGAAGCACAAACAGAGCATACTTTGAACATACTTACAAAATTCTGATCTTCTGAAGTTAGAAGTGTATAGAGAAAAAAATCAGGTAACTATTTTTGAATGGCATTTCTATAGTGTTCTCGGGCATCTCTTCAGGACTGGTGCTGTTTGTAGGATAGTACTGGAGATACAGGCAGAACTGGTGATACTGGAATTGTAGTCAACACCTGATTCTGGAACAAAAACATCTTAATCCTATCAAACACCCAAAGAAAGATAAGGAGGATGCTGACATACTGGATCCAGGCAAATTTAATAATTTCCCAAAATCCTGGCTGATATTTAAAGAAAGTCAAGGAGTGTTAATAGAGAACATTCTGATGCTACCATTGCAATATCTAAACAAGGAAACTCATAGGCAGAAAGGCACAAACCTTGTTAATACATCTGTTTATGTCATAAATGCTAAGCCTCTGAACCATAGAAAACACCTAAAAGCCTTCTACCATGGTAGGTAACCATGGTAGAGCTGGAGAGAACGTCTGTCCTAGAAGACATTTAAACCAGTTCTGGGTAAAGTACCTACTTTGTGCCTGAGTCATCAGGAATACTTATTGTTAATATTCAGGCAGGCAAACAAATCTTGTAAGAAGTGTGCTCCATACAGATTCTTTTAAATGCAAACTTGTTCTTGTCTAAGAAAAAGAACGAAGAACATAACAAATGAAGAATTACTTTTTCAAAATAAAAAAATTGCAGTCTGTCTGCACATGAACAGATGTTAATAACTCCACTGCGGGAGTTATTGTTTAGTGAGATGATCTTGCATACAGATTTCTAATCATTTGCTTTAGGTCACACAGATTACAGTATCATGCTTTGTGAGTGGCATCTGTGACAGATTGGGACTGCAGGTACTGCAGAACCAAAGCAAGATGTATTATGAATATTCCCTGAGAATAGCTAACAAACTGCTTTAAAGGCCTTTTTAGCAAAGCTGAAAAGCAACACAGGTTCCTGATAAAGAAAGGCAAAAAGTGCTTATGAAGGCACAATCATCGCTCAAATAATACAGCCCTGTTATGTCACAGTTTGTGCAGTTTTAGAAGGATATAAGATAACTTCCACTGGGTAATGAATGGTGGCATTAACGATAAATGGCATATCTGCTGCTCTTCCAGTCATCCAAACAGGGCTGGGATCTGAAAAGACTGTTGTCACTATAATGGAGAAAGGAAATGTCCAGGTTAAGGGGCTTTTAGGTATTAATACAGAAATCATATACCTCACAAAACATCTGCCAATATAACTACTACTGTCCTGTAGCTACACATTCAGGCTTACCATTTCTATCCCAATACGCTCCAATGATGTTTGCTAGATCATAGTCACTTGCAAAAGGACTTGTGCCATTGACCACAGACACCTGTTACAACAAGGAGACACTTTAATTATTCATCCAGTCTTCCACACAGTAATTCTACTGAGTTTCTTACACAAAGTAACCGTGCCCTTCAAGGAATGAACATAAACATCAGACTGAACATCTTGGCAGAATAACCTCTTCCCTCTTGTAGTCTAACAAGAAAACACCAGTTCCAAAGTCTCACAGTTCGCTCTGTGCGGTAGTACAAATAATTAGGATGTCACCTAGGATAGTAGGAGGATTAAGAGGTTGGGGGGGAGTGATTTGATAGGGAAGGGAAAAGCATTTCCTCACATTGTATCTGGTGTCCAGTCCACAGTGGTTAAGTAATTGCCTCTGGTTTAATTTCAAGTCTCCATTCACATACAGCTGAGATCCTGGCACAGGAGAAAAAAACTGAAGAAAAGCCATGCTCTGCATCACAAATGTTGACATTCTCTGAAATAGTGAACACAAAAAAGAAAATTTAGCAGGGGGAGGAGGGACACAACATACTTTTCTACCTCTTGGTATGTACACATTTTTTCTACATTGATTTGATTTTTCTAGGACTCCCAAGTTTCATATCGTCACCTTAGTCTAAGCAAGAGACCACCAAATAAAAAAAACCCTATTTTTAAAAAAGTGAACTACCTTAGTTAATAGTTAACTAACTTTATTAACTCAACAAAGTTCCACAGGAAATTCAGTGAAGTCCAATGTCTGTGGCCAATGACAGAAAGTTCTGACTAGCCGTAACATGGCTATAGTCAAAAAGCAGCAAGGTGACTAAACACATTCATTGGAGACACACTTTAAAAAAACTCAGAAGTCAAAATCAAGGACTTGTATTCTGCAACAAGAACCAAATAAAGAAGGTAGGTCCTTAGTTCTTATCTACTATTCAGTCTGAAGGAAAATTTCCACATTTACAGTGGGATAAAAAAAGTGCTTAATTCGTATCATAACTCTCTGTGATACTAACACCTGACCAAATACTTCAGCCCAAATTTAAGACTGTTGGGCCTCTATTCTGGGCCTCAGGCTTAAGAATGTTTTCTGCATCACATAGCTATGCTTGCAAAGCTTGTCCATCTGCAATCAGCAAGACTCTCTAAAGAAACAGCCTAATCTTCCTAGGAAAACAACTTTTTGTCTGTGTGGCTGCACCCGACACAGCTCTGTATTATTACTCCTTTCAGATGTATCCCTGGGTTCTCTGTGCACTGATGGTTTACTCTTTGCTTTAGGTATTAATTGCACTGCCATTTGAGGTACCATGGCAGCAGAACTGCATTGCCTTGTCTTCCTGTAATACTTCCTCGTCCCAGTTACAAGACAGAGGAGATCCTGGCAGATGATTACCAATGCTTCAAGAGCTGCTAAGCAAAATCTAAGGAGTTTTCGGCTGCTGCAACAGCCTGACTCTCAAAAAATGAACTGGTTATGTCAAGACACAGCAGTGTGTAGGAATACACATCCTTCTGCCTATTGCAAGACTCTCAGTTATTTTCAGGTGCCACCCACACTGATACTCATTGTTGTGCATTTCTGTCCTGTATGGTGCACTACAGCCCAAGAGAATATAGAGCTTAAAAATACATTAAAAAAAAACCCTAATAAAGTGTATCCAAATACGCAAGAGAGCTAGACGAGGAATGACACAGCAGAGGAGAAAATTAAGTATTTTTCAGTAAAATAAATATCTTACAGAGGAATTTCAAATGTGCAAGGTTTCTTTTCATCTTTTGTATAATCACTACTGTAATTTTACAATGGGTGTATACATCACAACAAACAAAACTAAAAATGCTCACATAAAGCTGGTAGGAAAAGAGTAGAATCAGCTGAACGCCAACTACGTGCTCTGTTGGTTGTAATGGAAGTTCCAGTTTAAAATGCAACCAATCCATTTTGCCATCTTGATTTTTGTCTTCTTCTCTAGTCTAAACAAATTTTTTTTAAAGACAGGAATTTCTGTTAGAAAGAAAAACAAAAAAGTAAAACCCCAGGGGACCCTACAACTGCAGCACACACATACCAAGGAAGCAAATAAACTGCAGAGTTAGGAATGCAGTAATATGCTACTTGACTATTTACAGACAGAGGACTAGAAACAAATAAAAAGCCAATGCTGTTGTCTGTTATACAAGGTCTCATACACCCCTCCAGGGAGGGAAAGTTTACTTCAAGGTCTTTTCTGCCCTACACCATTCCACCCATATTCCTTGCATGCCAACAAAGCATGCCTTAGTGCTGGATCTTCTGTAAGAGCAAATATATGACGGATGGTCAGGCTTGTGTCTCCTGCCATTGTAGCATGCCTCCAAAATGACTTTGTATGCTGATTCCTGGCTCTAAGCCAAGGCTTGCTATGCTTGTGTGCCACAGTGTCCAGTACTTCGGCTACTTGCAAAATATAGCAGGGCTCGTTACAGAGGCAGACAGAAAAATAACTGCCACTGTGAAATCCCAGAGAGAAAAGCAACATGTTCTTCTGAAGGCACGTATCTACTTCCAGATCTAGAGGTACCCTGCAAACTCCCCATCATGGTAAGTCATGTGGCCAGGGGAGAGTGGTGCAATTAATTTGATGAAAGTAAACCGGTGTTCACACAAACCACCAGCGGTGCTTATGGACATGGTTTAGTGGCAAAATTGGTAGGGCTTGATCTTACGGGCTTTTTCCAATCTAAGTAATGCTATGATTCAGTAACACTGAGAGGGAGTGAAACGGGACTCATTAAAATTCCACAAAATCCCGATGTGAGGCACAAGGTTATACATAAAGCTGCTGCTACCTGAAGGCAGCAGTGCCTGACGGGCCACCCGTTCAAAAGCGCCATCAGCACTCGTGCCCTGAGCCGGCTACCGGTCCACTGGCTCCACTCTGCAGCCTCGCTTCTCGCCACTGTTGTCGGGCCGCCCCGGGCAAGCCTACCGACAGGAGCGGGACTCGGAGCCGGTCCTCCTGGAGCCTGTTGAACGCTGGGAATGTGCTCCACGCCAAGAAGCTGCCCGGGCCGGACCCGATGGTGGCGACGAAGAGAGCCTCGTACCGGAAACGAACGGTGGGCTGCTCCAGGTACGCGCTCTGCTTCAGCCAGAAACCTGAGGGCAGAAACGGCACGAGGTTTCAGGACTGCGCCAGGCCCGGTCGGGCCGCGTGGGGTCCCAGTAGCGCTCACCGTGGCTCCGGTAGGCCACCAGCAGCGGGGGCACATAGGTGAGCGCCGTGATGAGCAAAAGCGCCAGTGCCGCGGCGGAGCAGAATCCAGCCCGGTAGCGCGTGTACAGCGTGGGATGCGAGAACAGCTCCACGCCAGCCATGACGAGCAACCCCTCCTGCACTCTCACCGGCCGCCCCCGCCCGCGCCTACAGCGTTTGCACTGGGCGGAGCCTCGGACTGACGAGAAGCCGTTCCAATCAGCGCCGAGGGCACGGGCGTATCAGCCAATGAACGCGCACCACTGCCTCCCGGGGCCGTCGGCGAGATAGCGCCCGGCAGCGGGATGGAGACACGCGGATGGGGACACCCGCTTGGGCGACGAAGTCTGTGGAGCGGCTTCGAGTGCCCCGGGAGCCCTGAGGGCGGCTTCGCACCCGGCAGGTGACTCCGTGCCCGGATGCAACAGCCCCGCCCCGCGATCCCCGGCCGGAAGAAGCGCGGCTGCTCGAGCGGTTGCCGTGGGGCAGGCGAGCCGGAAGTCCCGCCTGCCGTGCCGCGGCTGTTGTTGTGACAGGGACCGTGACAGCGACAGGCCCGGCACGAGCCCCCGCCCCCCGCACACGGGCCTCGCCGCCTCTGGCTTCGCTCCCCGCCCGCCTGCATCATGAAGTGGATGTTCAAGGAAGACCACGCGTTGGGTAAGGGTGGGTCTGGGCCAGGCGCTGCCTGGCAGCGGCGCCGCTTCCTCGGTCTCCCGCGTCGCCATCTGTCGCGGTCGGCTTCCCCAGGCGGTCGTCTTGTCTGTGGGTGGACAGCCGCTGGAGGTCCTCGCCGAAGGGTCGTGTGATGCCCGGGGACGGTCTCCCAGAAAAGCTAGAGAGACCCGCTCGGAGGCGAGAATATGATCGCGATCCCGGCAGGCTCACGGCCCTGCCGGCGTTGCCTTCTCGGCCTAGGACACCGGCAGTATAATTACTATGCAATGACTAATTACGAGTTTTGTTCACAGAGCACAGATGTGTCGAGTCCGCAAAAATCCGAGCCAAATACCCCGACCGTGTCCCGGTGAGTAGTCAAGCCAGCTTCAACAGAGTACTTACAGGCAAAGGTGGATACACTGTTTCCATCCTGCCCACTCTGATGAGTTCCTACAAAGTAAATTAATTTTCCTTTTTGTGTCCTTAGATGTTTTAAAGAAGCCCCAAACACATCTGACTACTCCAACATTTTCTCCTCTGTCCCAGTGCATATTGACAAATAAGCTTTCTAAAAACTTTCCAAGGATTTTTATGATATATCATGGTCCTGCTTTCTTCTCGTGGCAATTGCATCCCAGCAAATACCTTCATTGTCTAGAAGATTGTGCCTGATCCTTAGAAATATTATGAAAACTACTGAAAGCTTGACCATCTTCCAGCCTGGCTAAATTGGTTAGATGATAACCCTCACGTATTCCAAGCCTATAACCAGTCATCATGGTGCATTTCCCCATGCAAACCCTGTTGTTTGAAGAGCCAGTGCAAGTGGTGACCCTTCCTTTCTGCATTAATACCTATCAATCTGCTAAATAATGAATGAGCTTTCTTCTCTCTGCAATCCCTTTTACCATGTTTCAGTCTCCAAAAAGACCACAGTTCACATCCTTATGTAACAGCTAGCAACATGCCCACATTCTCACCTTACTTGCTTGAGTGTAAAATTTCCTACATCCCATCTTACCACATGCCAGTTAGTGCCACACCTGCCTCTCACCTTTTGGTAAGTAACTTTTCTGTTAGCAGAGAGCCCAGAGAAAAATCTTCATTCCCATTGACTTTTTCTGCTGCTCAGTTGCACCTAGTCACAAGATTTTCTCCAGTTGCAATCTGGCGAGCTGATATGATCCTTGCTGTTCCCTCTTGAATAACTAACTATTCCCTCCCACGTAGACTGCAGCATCCCTAATGACCATACATCTCCACAGTATCCATGTATCCATTTCAAAAATATCCTTGATAACCTTGGAGGGACAAGAAACACAGAAACTCATCATGTGAGTCACAATGACATGCTGCTGTATCAGGAATGGACAGCAAGGTGTAGACAGATACAGGAATTGAATCTCAAATTGCAGCAATCCTTTATCTGGACCAGTATGTGTTTTCTGCTTGATTATTCAAATTGAGCTGCATACCATTGATACCAAATAGCTGGTATCAATGTAACAGTCAGAAGTGTTTTTCAAACTTCATATTTCAAGTAGAATGCAGAGCTAAGGAATGGAGACCCTGGAACCTCTTGTAAACCCCATTTCCTGACCTCCTGTGTTTTTCCTTCAAGAATCAGTCTGTGTAGTACAATGAGCATCGGCTCTCTTTCACAAGCAGTACTTAATTATCCTTCCCCCCATACCTGTTGCTTTCTGTTTATTTTTTTGGTTTTGTTTGTAGCGATCTTGCTATCTTTCTTTTCTGTAGTCAGTTTCTCATTTTCGAAGCAATGATGGAATACTCTAAATGTCAGTTCAGCAGAATACAAAGGTAGCCAGTACCAGTACAGGGGAAGGATCACCTTCCAGTCCTTTGCCTAATGCAGTCCAGGACACTATTAGCCTTACTTGTATCCAGAGTACACTGCTGGTTCATTCTCAGCTTTGGGTCCACATTGCAGTAATTTCATATCATCAGTGTATACAAGGTTAAGTGATGTGCGTACTTTCCTGTCACAGGTGTCTTTTAAGGCATAACACTCCTTTTTACACCATGACTGCCAAACACAGGCACAGGAAGTTTCAAGCCATTGTGTGTATAAACAGGAGTTTTAGTGCAGCTGTAAAATCAGGTTTTACAGTGCTGAGCCAGTTCTACCTCTGATTTGGTTGTGGTCAGGAAACCTTTTTGTTCATCCCCTCTACTCACCATTGTAAGCCTGTATGAGCAAGCGATCTACCAAAGCTGTCTGTTCATACCAATCCTGAACAGCCTGACCTTCACACCTGCACTTTACAGGTCATAGTGGAGAAGGTCTCAGGATCTCAGATTGTTGATATTGACAAGAGGAAGTACTTAGTTCCGTCCGACATCACCGTGGCCCAGTTCATGTGGATCATCAGGAAGAGGATTCAACTGCCATCTGAGAAGGCAATATTCCTCTTTGTAGACAAGACTGTCCCACAATCCAGGTGAGAGGCTATTCACTTGGTATTCAGAATCATTACAGCAAGCCTGTGCATATTAGGGGGTCAGTAAAATCACTCTTCGAGGCTCATTTGATGATTTTAGATGTCTCTCACATCTTAATCTCACTAAGAGTTTTTTTCCTCATGAATTTGATAAACGTCTTATTTCTTGAGCTAGGCTGAAAGGAAGGGTGACTGAAAAATATACTGTGATTTACTTCCATGGCATAAGGGTGAGCTTTGCAGTTACTGTGTCATTGCATTTGGTTGAGTGCAAAAACACGTGCATCATCAATGTCAAGAAAACAATGATTCTCAGTATAAGAAAAAAAGGTTGCACATTAAATAAGTGCCACAAATTATTTTGAAAAAACCAATAGTCTCTCAGTTTACAAAGAAATTGTAAACTAGTTGTTGGTTCTTTTTTTTTAAATTATTTTCTTCTATGAAAAAAGGAATAATTGCAGTAGAAAGGTTTTTCTTTTGCATTGCTTTTACATAGGAATAAGTTTCATTGTTTTCTGTGACATACAGAATATAGTAGAAGCAGCAACTACAACTTTCTACACTAGACACCTTAGTAACATTTAAGGAAATAGTATGCTGTTACATGCCTTAGATGTGATATTATTCTTAATACTTAACTATAAAATAAAGAGTCCCTCCAGGTAACCTGATACACAATAGGGACCCATGAGAACCATCCTTCTCTGCTTGTTTTCTTCTAACAGTACTGAGAATGCCTATATGTCATCTTTATAACAGTATTATAGAATTCCTAGGAGCAGGAAACAGAGATCCATTGTCTCTTCTCATATGTTCATAATGAGATGTCACATCTCAGTTAGAAAAACAGGGCTTTGATCATTCAATATTAATGTAAAAATAGTAACTTCTTAACTGATAAACAAAACCACAATCTATTCATGGCTCTGCTCATCTCACAGGCTTCAGTTTATGTAATAAACTGTATGAAGAGAGAAGGATGTTAAGGATTGGTGATCTATTTACTACTCACCAAATTCTCTTCCATTTCAAGTACTGCTTACAAATCTTCCCAGCTCCTCTCTTGGGCAGAATGACGTTGTTTTTCCCCGTTACTCACATCCATCTCCATCTTTCAGTTCATTAGCCTTTTCTCAGTTTTGGGAAGTCAGAGAAAGGTGAGCTGAGAAGGCTTCATTTGTGCACCCAACTGATGTCTACTGCTCCAACCATCTGTAGCTAGATGGCTGGAGCAGCTGACCAGCCAAGTAATTGCTAGGGTTTCTTTTTCTTTTCAAAATATAAATTTTTCTTTTCAAAATAAGGAAGCATTCTGACAAAGACATTTGTGAAGAAATATAAAAAAATTACTCTCTGCAGAGTCCAGGATCATTTGCCTAACTTAGGAGGCAACTGCTTTTTGTTTGCCCTCATTTTTTGTATTCTAACCTATACACAGACTTAAAATTTTTAGCTTTTATTAATCCTCGTTTATATGAGGTTCTGTTAACACTGACAACTTGCATGAGCCAAGCAAACCATTTCTCTCTTTCCCTTTCAAGCTTAACTATGGGACAACTTTATGAGAAGGAAAAGGATGAGGATGGCTTCTTGTATGTTGCCTACAGTGGAGAGAACACATTTGGTTTCTGAATGGTGGGTCTTGGCTACTGTACCATCCTGCTGTGTATCTTGTAAATAGCCGATCATTTTTTGTTCTGACATCCTCAGAAGTTCCTTCTATATACATGCATTTGTAACTGGATTTATTTCTTAATATATTGCTAGGTCTTGTTTTATTAGACTGTTAAGTTATAAAAAGAAAGTTTTGTTGGTTTTGTGCATTTTTTTTTCCTCACAGCTATGAATTCCCAGAGCCTCAGTTCTTTGGGGGGGGGGGGGGAGCGGGGGGGGTGGCATTTGATGACACTGATTAAATAATAAAGCAAAGTAGTTGGGCTACTAAAACATGAAGAGAAGAACACACATTTATTCTGTTTTGAGATGTCAGTTTAAGAAAAATAAAAACAATAAATAATTATTGGAAACACTGGATTTGCTAGCTTATCCAAAGCCAGAAGCAAGATGCTGATCGTGTTAAATTAAGCTAGTATGTTCCTTTCTCAATTAACAAACAAATACAATAAAAATTCCTGTCAAAAACAGGCAGTGCTGTTATTTCTTTACCTTCACTTTGGCCAGAAAGTTACTCATCGCATTTACTAGATGCTACACAGCTGTTTCTGTTACTTACCAGACATTGTACAGCTTCTCAAACTTTAGTGTGTGGCTGTTGATACCAGGAAGAAACAACCTCTTTGTAGGTTTCAAAACCAATAGCTTCAGAGCTACTGTATCTCACAGCTACTTCTGTTTATAGGCAGAGGCAAACCCTTGGATTGTGTGGGAGAGGGTGGGAAAACCAGCTAATTGACCTAATTGCACAGTGCTGGAGTTCACACTCTGATATCAGAGGATAACATCGTGTTGAAGTAGCATCACTTTGACCTTCCTAAGCCAGCAAGGAAATGCTAAATACATTTTATACTCCTTTTAAAATTTTTAATTCATTTTCACACTATGTGGTGCCTAAGAATCTAGTTTTTAAAATGCTTCCAGTTACAGTGGAAATTTACCACTTTCCAAACTTAAATTCATACTAACTCAAATCCCCATGAAGATATATTATGCCTAGAATTGTTCAGCTCTGCAGTCATTCACAAGTATTGGCAGAAAGACTCCAAAATGTGAGCATAGGAGCCTGTGAAAGGTTGACACTACCCTATTACTGTGGCTTGACAGAGTAACTGATGTATGTGCTTATTGCATGTGAAAATGTGTTGTTGATCTCAGTAAGCCTTTCATTAGTCAGAATAGTGCTGCATTGTAAACCACTGCTTTAGGAAACATTCTGTCAGTGCTTCCATCCTGAATTACTTCTAACTCCCTTTTCACACATTAATGTTTACTCTTAACAGAATTTTTGATTCAGAATGAAGAAAAGTGGTTTCATCTGTCATTTTTTAAATTACCTTTTATTACTGGAAAATATTCTGTTTCCTTTATGCTGAAATATTACCGTTTTTCTACTGTTACCAAGTAATATTTTTTCTTAGCTGTTAACAAAGGAGTAAGAAACACTTAAAAATGCTAAATAAAGTTAATTACATGTTAGTAAACTGATGTATCTAAATCAAGGGAAGATGTTACGACTGAGGCAAATTTTCCCTTCATAAGCTCCTAAACCCTCCACATAACTACTCTCTTTAACATTTCTGTGTTTATTAGTTTAGATTTAGGAGCCCAGACACGCAAGTGGTTACAGAGAATGTAAGGATAAATATTCTACAGCAGTAACTTAGCTTTTCATCTGGTGGTCCACATAAAATGGCAATAAAACATCAAGAGGTTTCCTTTTGAAATGCAGAGGTGAAATGCATCCCTTTAGATAGGACACTCCTGTAAAATTATATAAAGCATTTGAGCCCATATGATCTTCATTTTCTGTTAACCCTTCAATTGATGCACTGAACAAAAAATGAAGAAATAACCTCACTGTTCCTACAGCAACACCTCCATGTCACTTATCTCTAAGCTAAATTGAAATGTCATCTCCAATATAACTAAACCAGTACTGAATGAATTTAGTATTCAGTCAATATTTAGTGTATTATTATAGACCATGATTACATTATAGACATTATTATAAACCAAATTTAGACCACATAGATGGTCTTTCCTCAAAAAACATCTTGCTTCTACATCTATATGTGTTAATTGTATATATTATGTACCTATAGTTGCTACAACTCTCTTATGATGTTATCAGATAGTCTGCGAGAAAACTCCAACACCTTTCTTTCCTCCTTGCCAACAGAATTCTGCCCTCAGCAGCACAACCCTAGCTCTTCCTTTCCTCTAGTACTTAATGAATTTACTGCAGAGGTCTTGTAACTCCTAGTGAAAGGCTGCATCTTCTTTTGGGCTCATGGTTTGTTTTTCTGCAAGTACAGTAATCTAAATAGTCTTCAGTTTACTTGCAATGTACTGAGATCAGTAAGCCTTCCAGCCTGTGTTAAGGTGAGCAGTGGAAGCACACTCTCAAGACCAAAACCTCGCTTTTCCAAAGACAATGGGATGTTAGCATCTGATCTTATAGAACTGCAGCCTCAAGGTCAAACATGATTACTTCTACCCTTGCACAAAACCACTTGTTTCTATGCTCTGGTTTTGACTTTCTTAAAGATAAGCAGTCTGTCCTGCCTTCTTACTATGATTGAAAACAGAACGACACCTCTAACAGTGATGCTGTTAAAGACATCCCACTCAAATACAGTTTCTTTGTCCTGGCAATTAGGAGCCATTGGTCCCCAAACAAGTTTGGGACAGGCAAGGATCTATCTGGGTAATACAGATGTTCTCATTTTACACATACAATGAGAATCTTGGTGCCCCCTCCTGTGCTCTGCCACTCCCGCTACCAATTGTTTGCTTGTTCTCATTAACCATGCAGTGTGGGCACTTCATTCCTGCTGCTTCCCTCCCTGCTAACTCTGCTCTCCTGTGGCAGTCTCTGCATTCTGCTGTCCTCCCTGTGCCTTGCCTATCTTTGTTTTGGGGTGTCAGCTATTCCAGCGCAAAGGAGTGATACAGGCTTGGAACATATCAACTATTACTTTCCAGGAGCAATTCTTCCAAAGACCTGCTGACAATGATCCAAGTGTAGTTTGCTACCAATTACAAAAGCAGGAACTTTTATTTCTTATCTCTCAATTTTTCCCCTTCTGATTTTCAGAGCAGTTTCATGGTACTGCCAACAGCATTTCCTGACATTTTCAAATGAAACTAATGCAGCATTTAAATACTAATTTTCTGTCACAGAAATGCCATCCAGTTGAGGATGAAATCCCACAGGCTTAGCCCCTCAGCCTTTTAAATTCTGTTCGGTTTTAGCTCCTTCCCTCTCTTCACATATTCACTGACTTGCTCTAGGCTTAAGTATGCCCTCAAGTCCATGCAAGAAGTGAGGTTAGCATCAGTGTTCAGCACCTCAAAAACTACTTTTAAACCTTACAGGTAACAGAAAAGCATCAGTCTACATTTCACAAGTATTTTAGAAATGCACAAAAAAGTCTTACCAGGAACAATCCTAACAGCCAGGCTCAAATTTTAGAAAATAGTTAAAAGAATTTAAACCATATAACTGCTTATCTGAAAACTGATGCATGACTACAGAATTAGTCTTACACAACCCAATTTTAATATTGCAACTGGATAGGAAATGGGAACATTCCAGTCTGGTCAGCAGGTTCACTGCAGACATGGTTGATTAACTATGGGAAACTAGGGATGGTAAGTTAATAATTTCTGCAAGATTTCAGCAATGGTAAACTTCAGGATCCTGGAAATCTACTGATAGCTCTTCAGGTTCACTATAGAACTCTGACCATCCTTGGAATGCTACTTGCTTGATTACAGGAACAGCTACCATTTATCTTCAGCAGTTCACCCTGTAGCCCATGTGCAATGGCATCTGAACATTTGTTATCCTCTGATGACTACTGCAAGTCCCTAATCTCCATAATCCGTTGCCCTCTGCAAACACATAAAACTACTTCCCCCTCACCAGTACAACTGGTATTTCTGCGTGTTAGTGCTGGATTTGAAAGAATGGGCATATACGCACAGAATTCAAGTTGTTACTTCTTCACCAAGAGAACTATTCTTACTTGACAAGTCAACCTAAGTGTAAACTAAAAAGGATTTGCTGCTATCACTGCTCATACTGTAATGTTATGTGTACTGTTTGGTCCCATATGTAGCTCAGTAGGTTGACAACAAAGGCTGTTTGGAGAACTGCTGTGCTCATTTTTCAAATCCAAAACTATATGACACCAAAGAACAAAAAAAATTCAAATCACTAAGGAGTTCTTAAGTTCTAAATTATCTACTTCTTTCATCTTGACATTGCCTTGTCCAAATATTTTATGAATTGTGGTTTACAAGAGAAAAATACAAAAGGGGAATGCGCTCAGTAGCAGTTACACAGTCCTGAAATTGCTCACAAAAGGCAGTAACTGGGACAGAAGTTTTAAGGATGATTACACACTGCTTCCCCCACAACTGCTCACAGTGCTGACTGTCTTGTCACACAGATGTTAGTTGGTAATAAAGCATAATGACAAGAGAATAGAAGGTACATGCCAGAGACTACTTTCAATACTTCCCAAAGCCTCTCCACTTTTGCCAGGCTATTAGTGAACACAAGGAACAGTGACAAATGGCTGAGGCATTTTTGCTTTTAATTCACCATTTCCCACAGAGAGGCACGGAGATGGACCGTGCTTGAAACACTGAAAAGTAGGTAAATGTTTGCCTATAATTAGACAGGATTGGCCAATTTGAACCAAGTAATTCAGGAGTTTTCTTTCCTGCCTACAGAAGCAAAGCAGTTGAAACATTATCTGGCAAACTCCTGAAATTGAGAGGCACAGGATATCATAAGTAGTATTATTTGATATAGACTCCTCCCCAGTGCTTTTGCTTCTGCTGTGGCAGTATCTGTGGCTATGTTTAGTAAACAGCAGCATATATTAAGGATTCCCAAAAAAAAAAAAGAGACACTTTAACAGAACTAGTTTTTCCAGTTAGAAGCAATGGAGCTGGGGGACATAGAAAATTCTTCTAGGCACCAGACAACAAGAGTTCAGAGTTATGAATGTATTACTTATTATACATGAGGGTTGACCCAGAAAAACAACCACAACAGTACGAGAAGTGGAAGAAAAAAAGTGGCACTAAATTTTTCCATAGTACTGCATGAATTTCAGTTGACATTACTTTCACTGCAATGACTATGACTCAGATACTAGGATAGCACATCACTGCTTCCTTTCTTTTGGAGGCATATTGTTTCATACAGCTCAGAATTTTAAGTCAGCAATGATCCTTTTCTATATTTCAATAAAAAGAGGCTTAAACTCAGTAAAAATAAAAGTATTCTCTAAATCTAAATTGCTTTCCTTTTCACACCTGCCTCTTTATAGCACATGAACTAGAGGGTGTCTTTTTCTGGCCTTTGAACTGCAGAGGTATCTATTGTGGACCAGAGCTTATTCCTGGATTCACATAGTCTCATGGATTCTCATGTGAAGTGCAGGTATTC